CACACACACACAGACATTCGCTCATATACACACTCAAATTCACGCACACGTGCACGGACATTCTCTCTCTCTCTCTCTCTCTCACACACACACACACACACACACACACACACACACACACGGTTAGGGGGATACCCACAGACACATAAATAAAAAGATAAAGAAAATTTAAATATATATATATATATATATATATATATATATATATATATATATATATATATGGAGCTGAAGCCATGATCTTAAGACAGCTCTTAAGCAGAGGTTAAGGAGTTAAATACAAGTCACAGGACATGTATTCAATGAGAGGAACAGAGGCAACAGGGAGGGGGTCGGGATACACATCAGAACAAAGTAGAATGGCATGCACACATGAAAATGCCACAGAGACATCCATGACTTTGTGAGATAACTTCATTTTAATTTGGGAAGAGGGGATAGATATGTACCTCAGTGGTGTGGCCCTAGCTCAGCGCGTGGAAGGTCACGGGCTCAGCCTCAGTTCAAGGACTCAACCCCCAGACCAACTCCAAAACTCCATAGGCACTTGTCAGACCATTGTCAAAAGAGCAAACTTGGCCCGCTCTTTGGTGAGACCACCTCAGAAGTTTAAGCTGTGGGGCCTGTCAGGAAGAGCACCTGGAGTATCCTCTTGTGTCCCCAATAATGCAAGTGCAGCCTTCGCAGAGATTCTTTTATTTATTTATTTTTCACTGTGTATAGGTGTTTTGTCTGCATATATGTCTGTGTACCACTTGCATTCCTGGACAGGCCTGAGCAGGAACCACAGTCTTGAGCAATCCAAGGCCACCTTGTCCTGGGGAGGAACATTCCTGCACCTAGAATAAAGAAAACAATGAACAAAGACGGAAATTTTAACATTTAATATGGATCCTGATCTGTTTCATTGTTTTGTTTTGCTTTGTTTTGAGGCAAGGTCTTCATATGTAGCCTAGGCTGGCCTGGAACTCATGACAATCTTCTTGCCTTAGCCCCTCCAAGGGCTAGAATTACAGACATGTGCCAATACATCGGACTCTATGAATTCTTATCTTAAATATGAGTATGTTCTGTATCTCAATGGGAGCAAAGGCATATTCTTAAACTAACTCATGAGCTTTCATCCCACACATCCGTAATGAGACAGGAATCCAGAGCCAGAACAATGGAATTGGAGCAATAACCCATTCCCTTAACCTAGGCTCTGGCAAACACGGGGTTATTAAAGTCTTTATTGACTGACTAATTGACTGGATACCTCCATAAACAATAATTAAAGTAAAGACAGAGACACAACTCATAAATAAAATTGGACTGGAGCACACAGCTTCCTTAGATCTCAAAATTAGTGCTTGTTCAAGCGAATCTCACATAAGCCCTAGGAGAGAAAGTAGCCTACCAACAATACCCTTTTAAACTAAGAACTGACAAGAAACACATGAGCTCAAGATTAAGACTATGACACACTTAAAGGAAATGATACTGGAATAACAGATGCAGATGAACAGCATCCAGAGTCTATGAGTCCAGCAGGAAGAATCTTTCTTTACTTCAATGATTTAACTTCAATGAGTGGGTGGGTTGGTGGATTTAACCTAGAGACTAAAAGATTTAACCTTCAATGAGTGGATGGGTTGGTAGATGAATGGGGGATGAATAGATAGATAGATAGATAGATAGATAGATAGATAGATAGATAGATGAACAAGTGGATGTGTAGAAGAGTGGATATGGGTGGATAGATTAATGGATGTTGTAGCATGAATCTTAAATGTCTTATTAATAAAAACAAACTCAGGGCCTGGTATTGGGGTGAACACTGGAAGATCAGAGAAACAGAACAAGCCACAGCCACCTCACCTTGCCAATTCCTCAGCTGATCCTGTTTCCTCAGACTGGAAACCTCTGAGTCCTTATCCAAATGTATCTCAGCTGAACTGCTTCTCAAAAGCCTGAAAGCTTAACCAGCATCTAGTTCCTCATCCTCACGCCTTATATACCTTTCTGCTTTCTGCCATGAGTTCCTGGGATTAGAGGCGTGAGTCACCATGCCTAGCTGTTTCTGGTGTGGCCTTGAACTCACAGAGATCCAGGCGAATCTCTGACTCTGAAATGCTAGGATTAAAGGCTTGTGTTGCCACCACCTAACCTCTATGTTTAATATTGTGGCTGTTCTGTTCTCTGACCCCAGATAATTTTATTAGAGTGCACAATATTTCAGGGAACACAATACCACCACAGGATGTATGATGGATGAATAGGCAGGTGAATGGATGGGTGTGTAAATAGTTAAGTGGGTGAGTTTATAGATTGGTGGATTGGTGGAAGGAGGTATGGGTGGGTGAATGGATGGGTGGACAGATGAATGGGTAAGTGGGTGGATGGATGGATGGGTTGGTGAGTGGATAGATGGATGTGTGGGTGAAGAAAAAGAGAAATAGGTAAATGGATGGGTGGCTGGATAGGTAGCTGACTTATTGAGCTGGAGGATGGTTGGATGACAGTGTTGATGGTTGACACAGATAAGAACTGCTGATCTGTTCTCAGGATCCTCTGTCTAGGAAGAATTGATACTGGCAAATAAACATGAATATTTTCCAGGAGGGTACAAAATTCTAGCACTGTGATTGCATTTTTATGAGTGAATAAGGAAATGTCTCTAAACCATCTAAACATATACTAAACTACTAACATGTATAGGCATATATGCTTTAATAATGAGGCAAATCAATTAGTGTTTCTCAAATTCTTTAAAAGTTTCACATGTCCCCCTGTTGAACCAATCAACAATCTTTCCAATGAGAAAGCCCCAGACCCAGCCATGTTCCTTAGTGAATTCTGCCAAACATGTTGAAGTTATACAGTTCTCTGAAATCTCTCTAAGGATAACAGAGAGACGTTTCCTGACTCACTCCGCAAGACCAGTATCACCTGACCACTCAACCCCAACTAGGACTTTATGAGAGGGGACTATAGGTGAGCATCTCCCATGGGCACAGACACAAAAATTCCCAACAGAATACTGACATGTCTTGCTCATTTGAAAATGTGAACATGTCCTGAAAGTATTACACTGAGCTTCAACAGTACACACAATTATTATTAATCGGAAATAAAATTAAAAGATACATATTAGTAAATAAACAAGTGTTTAAAAATTGTAAATGGTGGGGCTAGGTGTGGGGGTACACATCTTTGATCCCCGTACATGGAGTCAGACGCTCGTGGATCTCTGTAGCATGAATTTTAAAAGTTCTTATTAATAAAAACAAACCTGGTGCCAGTTATTAGGGCGAATGCTGGAAGATCAGAGAAGCAGAACAAGCCACAGCCACCTCACCTTGCCAATTCCTCAGCTGATCCTGTTTCCTCAGACTGGAAGCCTCAGAGTCCTCATCCAAAGGAATCTCAGTTGAACTGCTGCTCAAAAGCCTAAAAGCTTAACCAGCTTTGGTTCCTGGTCCTCATGCCTTATATACCTTTCTGCTCCTGCCATCACTTCCTGGAATTAAAGGCTCTAGTCACCATGCCTGGCTGTTTCCAGTGTGGCCTTGAACTCACAGAAATCCAAACGATCTCTGCCTCTGGAATGCTAGGATTAAAGGTGTGTGTGCCACCATTTTCTGGCCTCTATATCTAGTGGCTGTTCTGTTCTCTGACCCCAGGTAAGTTTATTAGGGTGCATAATATTTTGGGGAACACAATACCACAGATCTCTGTGAGTTTAGGGGTAGCCAGGGCTACATAATGAGACCCTTTCTCAAAAAAATTAAGACCTGAAAATATAAGTAAGTATTTATGTGTGAATGAATGAATGAAAGAATGAATGAATGAATGAATGAATGAATGAATGAATGGACAACCAAGGAAGATCAGTAAAGACAAATCATCAATCACTAAACAGCCTCCCTGTTGCCATGGAAATAGGGCTCCTACCCACTGGCCTGGAACAGCACAGCTATGAGATTTCTTCTTTGTCCTGGTTAGATTTTTTTTCAACCTGACATAAGGTAGAGTTATCTGGGAAGAGGAACTCAAATTGAAACAATGCCTTCATCCAGATTACCTATAGGAAAGTCTGCAAGACATTTTCTTGATTAAGGATTAATGTGGAAGATGCTAGTCCACTATGGGTGGTGTCCACCACTGGGCAAGTTGTCCCAGGAGGCATAAGAAAACACACAGAGCAAATGAGAAAGTGCAATCCAGTAAACAGCACTCCGCCATGGCTTCTACTTTAGTTCCTGCCTCCAGTTTCCTGCGTTGAGTTCCTGCCCTGAACACATTAGAGAAGGACTGTGATGTGGAACTTCAAGCCACTCCAATAAATCCCGTGGGGTGTGTATGTGTGTGTGTGTGTGTGTGTGTGTGTGTGTGTGTGTGTGTGTGTGTGTGTTCATTCTGTCAGCTCTTTTCCTTTAGAGCAGTGGTTCTCAGCCTTCCTAATGCTGTGACCCTTTAATACAGTTCTTCATGCTGTGGTGACCCCCACAAGCATAAATTTTCATTGCTACTTCACAACTGTGATTTTGCTACTGTTATGAGTCACAATGTAAATATCTGATATGCAGGATATCTGATATGTGACCTCTGTGAAAGGGTCGTTTGACCACCAAAGAGGTCGCAACCCACAGGTTGAGAACATCTGCTTTAGAGACACCCCTGACTAATACACTCATCATATGGGAAAAATCAGTCACGAGAAAATAATAGGTTTTCCCTTTCACCATTCAAAAATCATGTAATTTCCAAATATAGGAAATAAATTCTGTGCCAAAATGTTGAATTTCCAGGAGATGCTTTCTTGGGAAATGTGAGGCCCAGGAAACACAGACCTGCAGGTCCCAGGGGGGGCTCCAGACTCCCCAGAACTTACTGTTCAGAGCACACTGCAGGGCCCACTCAAAACCCTGAGCACTGCACAACGTGGCCTCTTGTCACAGCCCGTAAAAATCTAGGACATTATCAAAGATGAGAGGTACTTGATGACCTCTGCCAGGTTAAGCCCAAGGGTGGGACCCTCCACCCAAGGCTGCATCCAGCACCTTGATCCAAAGTGAGGTGGCCAGGAAGGCACTGATTGCCTCCCTGCCCCCAATCACTTACTCTGTCTCTCTTTCTTGGGGCCACCTACTAGTGGCCACAGTTTCCAAGGAGAGGAATTGGTAAAGAAGTCCGTGAAAGCAGTTCCATGTCAGAATGACAGAGGAGGGGACTAAGGAGTCCCTGAGTGCTGTTCCCGCTCTATGCCTCAGGTGCATCACTAGGGATCTCAGAGTGTCTGACTAGCCAGCAGCAAAGAGGCTGTTGCACAGCAGAACACAGACACTGAACAGCTCCCTCTATCCCTGCCACTACTCCTGTCCCCCAAGAGTGGCTGGAGGTCATGAAACCACATTGGTGTAGTGTGTGATTGACATCTCCATCAAACATGAATGGCTGAACCCGATGCTCTTTAATTCATCATTTGGAAAGTAACCACAAAAACGGAATATACAAGTGCCAGCAGCAGAGATGCCTGAGTGTACAAGTCCAATTGAGTGTGTAAGCCTCAGGGTCAACACATCCTCTGGCTCCAGATCTTGGATGATGGGGGATTCTAGGTGGGTGGTGTCTGCACCTACGCTCCATTCTGGGCAGGGGTCACTGCAGAGAAGAGCTTCTATGCCCTACTTGAGCTTCCCTTCGGGAAGACATTAAAGAGAAAAGTCAAAAAGTGGATCATATAGGCCTTGGCCTTGGATCAGACAGAACAGGGAAGTATAAAGGTTAGGACATGGGGCCAGAGGAGTGTTAAATGAGGCAGCCTGTGATTAGCCCCAGAAGTGATATTGGAGAGGATATGGAGGGCCTACCAGTAGACCTGCTCCAGCACCCTGTGACCCAATAATCCCTCCTGAGTAAGTTGCGTGCTGAGCTTGGACCCATCACACGGCAGCCCTATATACAGGCCAGGCAGGCTCAGGCAGCTCATGTCTCAACCTGGACAAGAGATGATCTAGCCACAGCCCTCAAAAACCCATGTGCAAACTCTCTCAGAGCCACCGGGGCCTCTCCAAACTCAGGTGAGCAACCACTTGTTTTCAATATAGGCCCCCCTAAGGAGTCCAGTTCTCTCTGGGGTCCCTCGGGGCTGAGAGATCAGGGTGGACAAGCTAGAGCTCACAGGCTCTATTGGTTATCTAAGATAAAATGAGGAAACAGGACAGTCTGCGAGCTGGGGGAATAACTTGGTCAGTAGAGTGCTTGTCTAGCATTCACGAAGCCCTGGCTTCAAGTCGCAGTACTACAACCTGAGCGTTGGTGGTGCACCCCTGTAAACTCAACAATTGGGAGCTGGAGGCAGGAGGATCAGAAGTTCAAAGTCATCCTCAGCTACACAGCAAGTTTGAAGCCAGCCTGAGACATACTAGTCAATGTCTCTAAATAAACAAATAGAATAGTCTACACGGCTTTATCTACTAAATTATGAAACAATATTAATGGCATTTTCTGGCCCTGGCTCGAAGCACTCTGGACACACTCAGTCATTCATACTCACAAGGGTTCCTTGGGACAGTACTGTCATGGTCCCATTTGTGGATGAAGACACGGGTTCAGAATAGTGATGTGATGAACCCCTTCTGTGCCGCTCCAAGAATGAGTACCAATGTATGAGAGAATTACCCCAGTTCCTTCCTCAATTCCAACCGGAGCCTGAAGCCACACAGGTATCCAGGGCCCTATGATCCCTCTGACCCCTTCCTGTACCTCCACCCCCAAAAAGGTATGACATGTGATGGACGTGCCCTGAGACCCTAGCGTGAGCCCCAAGAGCCCTTGCAGGTTGCCAGCTTCCTCTCAGCTTTCTATGCTTCGTTTGGGGGCTTTTTTGGTTTGGTTTGGTTTGGGGTTTTGCCACCATGGTTAATCTCTGCAAGCATGGACTCCTGATAGCCTAGCGTATCCTTCTTGGCAACTCCAGATATGGCTTGCTGGCATCTGTCGGTTGGTGAAGATTTTATTGGACCAAGAGGCAGACCTAGTAGGGAGTCTGGCCAGAACTGGTGTAGTATCCAATTTTTATATTCCTTGAGAGGGATCTCCTAGGGACCCAGAACCCTGTTTCTCTTTTCCCCTTCCAGAATCTTCCTGAAACTGGGGGAGGGGCGGGGGAGGAGCAACTCAGCAAGCATCCCTGGACAAAGCCATGAGGGTAGAAACTGGGACGGTTGTTGTTCTAAGCCGTGTAGGGGGAAAGGCACCAAACACTGACACTGGCCCGCAGGACAGTCAATGCAAGTCCTGCAGAGCAGCGTCTGAGGGGAAATGTAAGGTGGGCAGTGGCTCACTTTCCCTGCACTGTCCTGCGCAGAGCCTCCTTCACGTCCTTGTTCCTCAGGGTATATATGAAAGGGTTCAACACTGGTGTAACGATGGTGTTGAGCACTGTGATAGCCTTGGTGAGGTCCAAGGAGCTCTCTACCGAGGTCCTCACATGCAAGAATATGGTGGAGCCGTACCAAATCAGCACCACTGTGAGGTGGGATGAGCAGGTCGAGAAGGCACGGTGTCGGCCCTGAGCAGAGGGAATCTTGATGATGGTAGTGATGATGTAGGCATAGGAGACCAGTGTAATACCACAGGAGCCCAGAATGACACAGAAGGCAATACCAAAGGACACCAGCTCCACCACCTGTGTGTCAGTGCAGGACAGCACGATCCAGGGTGCAATGTCACAGAAGAAATGGTTGATGACACGGGAGCCACAGAAGGAGAGGCGGGCGATGAGGACAGCCGGCACTGTGATTGCAGAAAAGCCACACAGCCAGGATCCCAGGGCCAACCGTGTTGCCAGCCCAGGTGTCATGATGCCACCATAGCGCAGTGGAAGGCAGATGGCCAGGTAGCGGTCATAAGCCATCACCGCCAGCAAGAAGTACTCAGTACAGCCCAGAGAAAAAACGAAGTACATCTGTGTGGCGCAGCCAGCCAGGGAGATGGCTCCACCCAGGGGAACAAAAGTGGCCAGGGTCTTGGGCACACAGGCTGTGGTGAACCAGATCTCCAGGAAGGAGAGGTTGCAGAGGAAGAAGTACATGGGTGTCTGCAGGCATCTGTGTACCCCTACCAGAGAGATGATGGCTAGGTTTCCAGCTACTGTGAGCAGATACATGACCAGGAAAAGCAGGAAAAGCCCAATGCGCAGGCTCCGTGGCCCGGGGAAGCCCAGCAAGATGAACGGTCCAGGTGTGGACAGATTCTGGCCAGCACCCCAAGCCATTGAATATTTGGGGGACATGGACTACCAAGCTTCCAAGAAGGGGGCTCAGAAAGTGAAGGGTCTGGCCCTTTTCTGTTCTCTGAGGAGTCTACTCACCTTGTCCTACAATCCCAGGACCCAGGTAAGCCCAGTCCCCCTTAGGAGTAACTGGATAGGCAGCATAAACCATGTCCATGCAGCAGGGAGCCACTCAGCCGGTGTGCATGCCTTCTAGCCAGTGCCTGTCGCCTAGGGGAGAAGGGGACACCGTGTCCTTATCCTGCAGTGCCTGTCACCTGGGGGAGAGAGGTCCTAATTCCAGAGTCAAGGAACCTAGAAAAAGACAGGAACTGTTGAGTTTCCTCAAGTGAAGTTATAAATGCCTTGATCTCCAGCATTGTCGTCCCACACACAGATGAGGCCCCTGTAGAGCATCCCTATCTCACCATGGAAATGCCCCACACAGAGAACAATACCTTCAGTAGGAGAGCCCATAGGAAACCTCCTCCTCGTCTTCCTCCTCCTTCTCCTCTAGCTCCCCTTTGTCTCAGGCTCTAACCTTAAACTGTTAGTTGAGAAAGGAATGAGCCAGGCTTCCTAAAATTTGCATTTAAAAAGCTGTCACTCTGAGCCTATGAAATGGCTCAGTGGGTAAAGGCATCTCCGCGCACGCACGCGCGCGCATGCACACACACACACACACACACACACACACACACACACACACTCTTAAAGGAATAACATAAATAATTTTTGAGCTGTCGCTCACTTCTCTAGCCAGAGGCTGATGGGTAAGGCTGAGGCGCTACAGTGTGCATGGATGTGTTAGTGGGTAAAAAGGGTGTTTAATGGACCCTGCAACCCAAAATACCCAGGGTATCAGCGCATTCCCCTAACCCCTTCCCAGAGCCAGCTGCTCCTGGGCTGACTACATAGACATCAGCTAATCTTCTGGCTCAGAGCCCAGAGACATCCTCCTGCCATTTCTCCCTCTTTTAGCCATGCACAAATGCACACTACACAGACATACACACTCACATGCATTCACCTAAACTGCCCCTCTGGCCCGTGCCCCACCTCCTGGACCACCATGCTCTACTTGCTGGTACTTACCCTCTTACTGACCACAAGCCAACAGTTCCTCACCCAGAAGACCTGAAGGTGCCTTGGGTGCCTTGGGTGCCTTGGCTGCACAATCTGCAACCAAAACACATTGCACCACCTTAGGTCTATTCCAGACACTTGCTTGAGAGAATCCCCAGTAGCCTCCCTGGCCATCACCCCTGCAAGCCCATGTGTAGCAGGAATCTTAGAGAGTCTTATTAATAAAATCAAACCTGAGCCAGGTATTGGGGTGAACTGGAAGATCAGAGAACTAGAACAAGCCACAGCTACCTCACCTTGCCAATTCCTCAGTTGGTCTTGTTTCCTCAGACTGGAAGCTTCTGTGTCCTCATCCCAGTGGCTCTCAGCTGAACTGCTGCTAGAAGCCTGAATGCTTAACCAGCCAAATGCTTAACCAGCCAAATGCTTAACCAGCCAAATGCTTCCAGTTTCTGGTCCTCACGCCTTATAAACCTTTCTGCTTTCTACCACCACTCCCTGGGATTAAAGGCTGCTTTCTGGGATTAAAGGCGTGAGTCACCATGCCTGGCTGTTTCCAATGCAGCCTTGAACTCACAGATATCCAGAGGGATTTCTGTCTCTGGAATGCTAGGATTAAAGGCGTGTGCTAACATTTTCTAGCCTAAGTATCTTGTGGCTTTTCTGTTCTCTGACCCCAGATAAGTTTATTAAGGTACACAATATTTTGGGGAACACAATACCACCACATCCATGGGTACCTCCATCATGCCAGTGGCATCTGACCTGCTCAGGGAGTCAGTCTTGACCTCCATGACACTGTCGTCCTCTCTCAGCCCAGACTCAGACAAGTTTCTCATTTAGAAAAATGTTTTTCACAGTTGCCAATCATAATGCAAGGGCCAAAAAGAGGAAGAAACTGACAACCCCGATCCACCTGGAAGGTAACACTCTTCGGTGTGACATTTGCACTATTTAGCCTCCCGCTTCTTCTTATACCCAAAACACAATGATAAGCTTCAGGTCTTCTCATTTCCCTCCCACCCTAAAGCCACGTGTGGATGGGTGGAGGGGGGGGTTACTTACCTGTGCCAGAAGGACACCCAGACATTAGAGTCACCCCAGCCATCATCCCACACAATTGCAGCTGGCAGGTGTTCCCTGAGGCTCAGAAGACAAGTTTGAAGTTGCAGATCTTGGTCCCAAGCCAGAGTAGAGGCCATCACCTAATGCATAGTGCATATGAGTCAAGAGGCAATATGACTAACCATATACCCTAAAGTGGCCTGGTTCCTGAGAGATCAAGTATGAGAACTCCCTTGTCCAAGTTAGCTCAGGGACTACCTCAGTCCCCATGGAGGTAAGGGATGCAGGACTACCCACCCAGGTCTTCAGCATGGCCTCCTAAGCATCCTGGAGTTCAGAAAGGTCAGCATTAGCAATGCCAAACTCTCTGGGCACAGATACACTGGGCCAAGTGCACAGAGAGCAGCCTCCAGCCTAGCTGACCTCTGACTTGTTCTGGGGTTTTCTATGGGCTCAACACTGCTGCTTACCTGCCATAGTCACAGGCCACTCTGGATATTTAAGGAGCAGTTAAATTCCTCCTGTTGCCTTGGTCATCCATTGCTGTGGCCAATAGTAGATTTGACCTACCAATAAAACTACTGGGATGTGCTCCCTACTTGGCATTTGAGTATATCTCTTTGGCAGACTGCCTGGCCCCAGGTGCACAAGACTACCCTGCTCAAGCAGCCCTGGCTATGGTCACTGGAGAGTGACCACTACTAGCTCCACCCAGGTCAGGCCTGATGCATAAAGGACCATGAAAGGGAGCTGCTGCATCTCCAATGCTCTGCTGCTTGTCCTCCAGTCTCACTTCAAACAGCAGCCACATAGCTCTTCCAGGGAAGAAGCCTGAGCAGATAGTGTCTCTACCAAGCTCTTCCAGCAGTCAGCCATGTAGTGTAGTAGCCAGCACCCACCCTGAGGCTGCTGTGATCCTCTCTAGCCCAGCCAACAAGCATCGGATCAGGTGGCAGGTGTCTCTACCTGCCTGTGAGATCCAGGCCAGCCCTGGCCCTGGCAGACAGAGCTTCTTGCACTTGGTTTTTTATGCCTTTCCCCAATCCAGGCCTGTGAGGACACTTTTGCCAATTATGTATCTGGCAACAGCCAGGCCCTGGAGGCTTAGAGGAGTCCCGAGGGCGGCCTCCTGCCCTTGGGCTGCACCACACTTCTCACCCACACTGGCTGTCTCCTGGCACTGAAATCCAGGCCAGGTGCCTACACACCTGTGGAGCAGTGGCCAGATCTATGCACACAGGGTGCAGTTTACCTGCCCACCAGATGCTGGGTGCCACTGGAAGATTTTCTGTGCCTCAGTTTCCCTCTATGTAAATAGGGCAGTGACATCCTGCATACTCGGGCAGGTTGGGAAACAATTTGTGAGCTGTCCCCCTCTCCTAGCACTGCTACAGCCTTTTAGGAAGAGCTATTGCGACACACAGCAATCCAGACTGGCTTTGCCTGGTCCATACTGGGGCTGCTCCTCTGAGGGCAGAGCACCTCTGCTCATGGGCACAGGAAAAAGTTGTGATCCAGGCAAGGAGCTGCCACTGATGAGCATGTGGCTTGGGACACGGCCCAACTCTGAGCTCGGTGAGCATCAACATTGAGATTCCCCACCCCCACCCTGAGGCCCATCCCTCTGGAACTCCCTTAGGGTACCACGAACCACCATGAGGCTTATAGCCACAGAGTTGTATGGAGTTGATCACATGGGGTCTGGGCCTCATGTCAGGGACTAAGCTGCACGAAGTTGGACCCTGGAGGTAGTATGAATGCCCTTGCCACCCGAAGTCCGTTTCTTCCCTACAACTTTGGGATCCCAGGACAGTGAGTTCAGGCTGTTCAGGAGATATGAAGACCTCAATGGGCCACAATCAAGAGTCATACTGCCCTGGGGATGCAACCTCCACACAGGACCCTGGACGCATAATTGGTAGCTCATTAAAAAATGTTGCGAAGTCTCTCCAAGGCCCCATCAATTGGCACCTGCGACAGGAGCTGCTTGGTCTGGGGAAACACAGGACTGCCTTCTGTTAGGCTGGACATGCTATTCCCCACCACGATGACATCACCAGCATCTCAAGGATGAAGAAATAGAAGGAAGGTTTCTCAGCAGACAGCTCAGAACTTTGACTATTGCTTCCACGTGACCTAGGTTTATTTTTCCCATGTCAGCTTTCAAGGTTCGTGCCACACACACACACACACACACACACACACACACACACACACACACACCCTAAGCTCTTCTCTCATTTAGCATGAGTCATTCAGCCTTTCACACGAAGTTTCAGGCACCTTGATGCAGTCACCTCAATGGCTTAAGGACACATTGGCAATGGGAGACTGTGACTTTCTTAGCTGTGACTGATGCTCCTACACATTCCCTCATGACAGTTGAATCGTTTAATTTAGAATTAAGTCCATAGCTCTCCACTAACATGACTATCCTCACGTAAGGGAAAGCTGGGGGACAAGGAGCCTGGCACTCACAGGACACGATACTCTTGGAATTCCATTCTTCATAAAATGAGGTGGAAGCCCTCCCCAAATCTCAGCCCCAGGGATCAGTAACAGAACACCAAGGGATCTACCATGTACTGGCTTTGTTTTTGTAAAGAACAGTACACAACAGTGCAGATAAATGTCCTTTAAGGGTGTGTGTGTGTGTGTGTGTGTGTGTGTGTGTGTGTGTGTGTGTGTTAGGGAACAAACACACCTGCCACAAGGCATTAGAACAAGGCTTATCCTGAGCCCATCCCAAGTTCTATGATAAAATGGCAAAAAAAAAAAAAAATCCATTTTAGAGTTAAGAACAATGTCTGTGAGCCATAGGCCTCCCACCCAGCTCAGGATGGCTCAAGGTTGATAGCAACATGCATGAGAACTACAGAAAGGAAAGTAAGATTCTGAATAACAACAACAACAACAAAAATCAAGCCAGGCATGGTGTTACCTGCTTTTAATCCCAGCACTTGGGAGGCAGAGGCAGGTGGATCTCTGTGAATACAGGCCAGCCTGGTCTACACAGCAAGTTCCAGGGCAGACAGGGCTCTATAGAGAGACCTTATCTCAAAAAAAATAGATAGAGATAGAGAGACAAATGATAGATAATTTTTAAAAATAAGAAATCAAACAGATATTATAGAATGACGAAAAACCCAGCAAGTGACTACATCAAGCAAAAGAAAGATCATTGAGAACCGTGGTAGCCTGAATGTAACTGGGCCCCATAGGCTCATAGGAAATAGCACTATTAGGAGGTATAACCTTGTTGGAATAGGTGTGACTTTGTTGGAGGAAGTGTGTCTCAGTTCACTTCCTGCTGCCTGAGGATCAAGATGTAAAACTCTCAGCTCCTTCTCCAGCACCTGAATGCCACCACATCCTGCCATGATAGCAATGGACTAAACCTCTGAACTGTAAGCTAGCCCCAACTAAATATTTACCTTTATAAGAGTTGCCACGGTCATGTGTTGCAGGAGATTTCTTTTTGTTGCCACTCCTAGACTGCCAAATAAACCAGGAACTAGGCAGGTTATAAGTCAGGAAATTTGTAAAGTGGATCAAAGCCCTTATAATTCTGTTCAAAAGTCAGAATTATATGCTATTCTCATGGTATTATTAGATGTCCCAGAAGCTCTTAATATAGTTACTGACTCTCAATATGTAAAAAGAGTTGTTTTACATAGTGAAACCACTGAATTTATTCCTGATGATTCAGAATTAACTTTTTTTTTATTATTTCAATTACAAGAAATAATTAGGAATAGAAATCATCCCTTGTATATAACACACATCAGATCCCATAAGGGCCTACTAGGCCCTCTAACACCAGGTAATGATGAAATCGATCAGCTATTGGTAGGAAATGTGCTAGAAGCCTCAGAATTTCTTAAGAACCACCATGTTAATAGCAAAGGTTCGAAAAAATATTTTTCTATCACTTGGCAACAAGACAAGGAAATTATAAGATGTCCTACTTGTTCTTTATATAACCAAATTCCACTATCTGCAGGAAGTAACCCAAAGGGTACTCAAAGAAATAAAATTTGGCAAATGGATGTGTTTCATTTTACAGAGTCTGGGAAATTAAAGTGTGTGCACCATACCATGGATACTTATTCATGATTTCAATGAGTACCTGCTTTGAGTTTGGAAAAGGCTGATTCTGTAATTACACATTTATTAGAAGTTATAGCCATGATGCGGATACCTGTACAAATTAAGACTGACAATGCTCCAGAATATGTCCCTAGTAAAATGAAACAGTTTTTTGCATGCTACAATATAAAGCATATTACAACTATACCATACAATCCTACAGGAAAAGCAGTTATAAAAAAATCTAATCAATGTGGTGATATATTATGTACCCTAATAAAATTTGCCTGAAAATCAGAGGTCAGAACAAGCCACTAGATTAAAATAGATGCCAGGTAGTGGTGGTATACACCTTTAATCCTAGCACTCTGGAGGCAGAGATCCATCTGGATCTCTGTGAGTTCAAATCCACCCTGGACTACATGACACTGACTCAGTCTAGGAGAAAAACAGAGTCAGGCAGTTGTGGCACACACTTTTAATCCCAATACTTGGAAGTCACATGCCTTTAATCCCAGCACTTGAGATTTCATACCTTTGCTTGGGAAGGACACATACCTTTAATCCTAGCACTAAGAAGGAAGTGATGGCTGCATGGAGAAAGGTATATAAGGCATGAGGAGACATGAATTGAAGCCTTTTCAAGCTGAGGAGTCCTAGAGGTAAGACGTGGCAGTGGCTTGTCCCTTGTCTCTCTGATCTTTCAGCATTTACCCCAATATCTGGATCTTGAATTTTTTATTGAAAAAAAAAAACATTTAGCAATTCATGTTACAAATCACTCTTTAAAAGATACACTCAATAAACAGAAAGGGGTAATAAAGACTCCTAGAGATAGACTGCACAATGCTTTGTCAACTTTAAATTTTTGAAATGCTAATGAAAAAGGAATGACAGCTGTGGAGAGACATTGGATAATAGAAAGAACTGCTGAATTAAATCAGCCTGTGTTCTTTAAAGATGTCTTGACCTCAGAATGGAAATCAGGATATGTGTTACATTGGGGAAGAGGTTTTGTTTTTGTTTCCACAGGAGAAGAAAGGCTATGGAT